GTTTTATTAAAATTCACAAAGGAATTAAAATTATTATTTAAAAGAAACAAAATTAAATTATAATTCACAAATATAGTATTTAAATATTATGGTATGAATTATGTTATAAATAGCACGTAGTCACAAATTTAAGAAAAAATCTTCCCTCCGATATTTGACCATCATTACTCATGCAAAATTTTCCGCTTCAAGTATGTAGAACAGTGTTGGAGATATAGATAAATTTAATTTTTTGGAGATTTGAAGAAAAAAGTACAAGTTTGTACACTAGTGAAGGTTATTAAATTTACTATGTACAGTCATGTGAAAAATAATAGGGACACGAAATTTTGACCAGTTTTAGCTATTTTTCTTTCGCTTTTTAATGTTTATTCTTTTTTATAAAAATACAGCTCATTATCTAACCAATTTACAACAAACGTTTTATTAGGAATTTTAGAAAAATTCTAATTATTCAAAAAATTCTAATTATTAATAAAGTGTAAATTGCAAGTGGGTAAGAATTCGCGTTTAGTTTTGATAACTTTTTTTTGCGAACGGTATTATTTTCTCCATACAGAAAAAAAAATTGTCAATAACATTTTATATGGAAGAAAATGCGTAAAAATGCGTCAAAAAACCAACACGAATTCTTAGCCACTTGAAACTTGCACTTAATTAAGCTAGAATTTAAGGGACTATAAAACTGCGTATCTAAAAAATTTTAATAAAAAGTTAGTTGTTGTAAAATTTTTTTAAATTTTTCTATAAAGTTTGGAATTTTGATTTATATGGTTTTTGTTAAATAATGAGCTGCATAATAAACATTAAAAAAGCGAAATAAAAATAGCCAAAACTGGTCAAAATGTAGTTTCCCTATTATTATTCACACGACTGTAGGTGATAGCAAATTTAATAATCTTCACTAATGTAAAAAGAAATATGAGATTGGCCAACTAACTATATAAAAAATTTGAAATTCTTCTTCAGATCTCCAAAAAACGAAGTTTCGAAACACTCGAAAACTTTTCTACTTGAAGGACAAAATTTTGAATGAGTAGGTAACGATGGCCAAATGCCACAGGTCAGAATCTTGTAAACTAGTGTAATTATTCAGTTAGTCTCTTCATCACTTTGGCTTGCAAAACCGTAGTCAACATCCGAACTATTTTCATAGGTCAAATTTTCGTAAAATGAGCGACACTCTAAAGGGATGAAGGTCAATAATTGCAAAAGGCCCAAATATTTAGCTTTTGAGATCCCACTCGGAAACAAGCAGGGCAATTCTGCCTCTGCGAAATCTTTTTCATTCACCTTTTTTTTCTTTAAATTTGCAACCTGTGTCAAGTTTTGGTTAATAAAAATAAGATGAAACAAATTTTTCCGTTCCTGCAAAATTTTTCTTGCAATCAGCCAATTAATTTTTTGGCCAGTGATGTCTACTTTGCGGTTAATGACAAGCTTTTCTAAATCCTTGGAACTAAAAAAGTCAGATGCTTCCATTTTGTAAACACTATATTTCGGCTCGCACTTTTTTGAAGTTTTTATTAAGTCTAACCAGTGATCCGGAGTTGAAACGACGTCTATATTTTTTTTGCACTTTTCTATTAAGCTGAAACATCTGTCGCAACTATTGTAACTATGGCCAGATACGAAAAATTTTTTGGCAAATGGTTTTTATTTGAGACGATGCTAAAAAATCTTTAAGCAGTAATGCCACTTTTATGTTGCGATTCTGACCTCCACAAGAATCGGAGTATAATACAATATTCTCAGTACCAATAGGAATGTGGTTTTTAAAATGTTTTATTAAGCAATAACCTATTTCTTGTCCTCCTCTCGAAGCCACACTTTCGTTCCATACATACATGTATCCTATTGAAATAAAGTAAAGTATCATTATTGCTGTATCTACCAGTCAAACATATGTATAGTAATATCAAAGAAATAACTATGGAAGATGGGGGTAAGAGACGTCCCCTATGGTGACAGTTAATTATTATCAATGTAAATCTAATGTAATCTAAAATTTTTTCGCTTACTAAACATATACAGTGGTCAAAAAAATTGTGATTTCCCACATGTTTACGTAAAAATCTTAGTTCTTGACAGCCTTTGACAGGGTTTAAAGGCGTATTTTTTTTTTTTTATGTTTGAATTTAGTTTTTTTTCGAAAAAACATTTGTATCAAAGGAAAAATACCACTTAGTTATAAAAACTATTTATACAGTGGCTATTTATATAATATAGTTCCAAATTAAATTAATTTTAATCTAACCCTTGAAATGTCTCAATTTCCTAACATTTATATATTTTTCTAACTATATATTTTTCTCGTCAAAGACTTGAATTATGAATCGCATCTTATTTGGCAGTACTTTCAACACAACCTACTTTAAACTCACTCAAGCAATTTACTTATAACTTGATTTTAAAACGTAAAAAAGGTAATAAAAATACATTAAAAGCTTTAATTTGTTATTTTTTGGTTGATTTAAAATTTTTACAAATGTCTTATCCACACGTTTAATAGTTGTATAGTTTACATGGAAAATGTTGCTCATCCGCCATGTAAGAGTACGAGAGAATACCGCCATGTACGATATGAGTAACAATATTTCCTGCTTCTATTTCATACCAAAAATTATTGCATATATTAATTAATTAAAATAATTTGACCATTCCAAAGTTGTTTATTTATTCATTGATTTTTTTGGCAAAAGAATATGCTTTAAAAAAAATGGGAAAAATTAAAAAAAAAGTTTAATTTTTTTATGTTTTCCCTTGTTAAAATTTGAATATTTTTTTTTAGATAAAAATCTTGTTAAAATGACCTAGGGCTGGGAATTTCATCCGGATTTTCAACTATCCGGATAAACCGAATATTCGAATACCGGATACCTAAACGAAAAATCCGGATATCCGGATGCTACGTAATATTCGGATATCCAAATATCCAGATTTTTCGTTGAATAATGTTTACTGTGTGCAAATCGAAAGTTATTAGATCGTTGAAGCACACATCGAAAAATTATTCACAAAAAGTGTTTGTTCATTATTATATCTACGTCAGATCTATTCCGTGCACAAATATGAGTGCTAAAACACCAACTAAAATTTGGGATCATTTCCAAAAAATGAGGACAAGAATAGTGCCATTTGTTTATTTTGTGGCAAAACGCTACAAAACAAAGAGTCAACTTCAAGCCTTTGGAGCCACTATATATTTTTCCATATTCAGGAAAATGGCGTGGACGCAGCTTATCTCTCTGAATCTCGGCCAGAGTCTACACCGAGTAGCAGTTCATTTCAACGACAGTTCAAAATTCGGAATGACAATGTTCGAGCATCGCGTGCAGCTCAAGCTGTTTGCGCGAAGTATATGTCTAAAGGACTTCAAGAGCTAATAACACAAGCGATGGTTAATATGATTTCTGTCGACTTATTACCTACTTCATTGGTGGAATGTGATGGATTCAAGAATTTTGTGAATATGCTATAACCAGAGTACGTAATTCCCTGTCGCAAAACCATTTCCGGCAGAATTCAAGCCATGCATAACAATGAACTAGAGAAAGTTAAAAAAAACTCTTTGTTCTGCATCTGATATAGCTTTGACAACTGATTGCGGGACATCAAGAGCCATGCGATCGTACATGGGACTCACAGCTCATTATTGTGGTTATTGTTAAATGAAATGAAGAATTTATTAACATTGTTACCGTTTGTTGTTGTCATTTCGCTTGTTATTGTCATTTCGACATCTTTGATTATTTCAGCCAGTTACCTTTACATTTTTCTATTTATTCTATATTGCGCATAATTTAATAAACGAATATTATTCACCAATTGGTTAATTTTTTAGTGAATATCCTAAAATACGAATATTAACCGGATTTCATAGATCCGGATAGTTGCACAAACGAATATTAACCGGATATCCATACTATCCGGATTTTATCCGTGTCAACGGATAATCCGGATGGAAATCCGGATATTCGAATATGCGGATAGTCCCAGCCCTAAAATGACCTTATCTGGAAAAACGGTATACAGATCCCATAATCTAGTAGAAAAATAACTTTTTGCCACAAAAACAGATTAAATTACCCATATTGCTCCGTAGTGCGTAATATAACTATAACAATCGTTCATTCTTTAAGAAAAGCAATATAAATCAAAATTCCAAATTTTATACAGGTGTTCCAAAGTTCAACGCGAATTTAAAGCCACATGTAAGGTGACTTTTGTTACACTAAAATTAAACGGTATAAAAGAAATTTATGTAAGTACATAATTTTTATAAAAATTCTGACTAAAAAGCTCAACATTTTCATGATAATTTACTGAATTTTTGTGTACTTTATGAATATGAAAATTTAATGAATTTCGGAACTTTGATTTATATAATATAGATTTATTAAAAAGAAAAGCGTTGTAATAAAAAAAGCTCTTACCTTTTTGTGTAATTTCATCATATGCGCACAGATTATACGTCCATAATTGTCTTTTGTAATATGCCACTGATGTCGTCAGTGCAGGCGTTTCCAATGTCTTTTGGAGATCGAAAGTCAAAACTATCAATTCGCCATTTTGTCTGCCATTTTCAACAGATTGCTTAAATTCTGTAGTTACGCTCTCCGCAGCCTTGAAATTAACCTTTTGTTTTTCTTCTAGTTCTTCTGTAACTCTTTGTTCAACACTACTTTCCATCCCGGCAAGAAATTATAGCTCTATTTTACAATGGCCCTAGCTCGATTCACCCCTTTAAATTCATGGGCCTTCCAAGAAAAGTTTGGCCAGGCCCTTGATGGTTTGTTAATGCTTTGGATTGATTGGGCCCTGGTATCGAATTCTGTGCTGGAGCTAGGCAGATTTGCCAAAGTAGGCCCCAGCCAGAGGGCTGAACTTTGCTTTCATGGGCCTTATAAGAAAAATCTAACTGGGCCCTTGCTAGCGAAGTTTATGTAGGCCCTAGACAGATTTTTTGAGACGCTCTATGTGAATAAAAAATAAAGAAATGCTTTTTTTGAGAATATGATTATTATTGTAATTAAGTACAAAGTTGAATTTTGTTTTTTGCGTTTGCTTATTCTTGAACGCCTGATCTTCTGTTTTTCCTTTGTCCGTCCCAGTCTTTCGCGTTCGTCAGACACGAACCCAGTAAATTTGCGAATTCTTGATCACAAATATGTTCATCTTCTTTTCTTGTCGTATTAATAAAATCTGAAGAATAAACAAAACGATTATTTTTGTTACTATACATGTGTGTATGCAATGTGTTTTAACATAACATAACCTTTGTACTATTTAGCATGTCATTTGACGGTAACAAGAGCAAATTCAATTTAAATCTATTAAATACATTCTAGCGTGTCTCAGTCCTTTACCCACAAAAGCGGCTATAACTTTTTTTTTCTATTCAAAACAGTAAGTGTGGCACCTTTCTGAAATCTTTATTAAATGAGCAATTTTTTTATGTAATGTAAAGTTATAGCTCAGTACATTTTTCTTTCACCCGAGATAGTCAAAGTTGGGGAAGAAAATATCAAAAAGTTAAAAATCCAGAAATAGTCCTAATTTTATGATGGTTCCTTAATATTTTTTAACAACATTGCATTTGAGTATGGAGAGGCAACTATCTGGAAGTATTTTACATAAAAAATTTACTAAGTATTGCCCGGTTTATAGTTGCAGTTAAAGAAAACACATGAAAAGGCACGATTTTTTTAAATTCGAAAAAATGTAAATATTTCAAAAACGGTGACACTGTTACCTGAAAATTTTTTGTTTATCAGGGAGCTCACCCCCCCACCTACCTTCCCCTAAAGTTTGGCACGTTACTTCTGGGACACCCTGTATGCACATAGCTAAGCCCTGCAAATATATTCGGAGTGCCAAAAAAACTTTTAGATATGCCTCTAAAAAATTTTTGAGTCCCAAATGATGTACATAAGGCCACATATGGGGCGTTTATTTTGAATGTGGCGTAAGTCACTTCATATCTCTTGTGCTTAAATGACCGGTTACTTGTAACCGAATGCATTTGTAAATCGTTCTATCGTCATAAACTAATGACAAAACCTTTTACCTTTGGCTGATGAAGTTGCACGAATAACCGGCATGTTCAGATACAGGTAACCGGCCATTTAAGCACACGAGGTGTGAAGTGACTTATGCCAGTTTTAAAAAAAAGCGGCTCATATATAACCGCGTCTGAGTTTAGCACATTATGAGAGTAAGCGCTCCGAGCTGGGGCTCTTTTGTGACTATAAATATTTGCTGGAAAACTCACCGAATATGATGCTGTAAATTTTATTGTGTTCCTTTTTGAAAATCTGTTTCTCCGGACTTTTTCTTACAGCTGTGTATTTCATGGCAATTCGGCGGGAAATTATGTTTTTAATAATATTCGCTAAATTTACTGCAAGTGTTTTGCGTCGATTAAAGAGACTCATGATAGCCAATTTCTGAAATAGTCATCAAAATATGAATATTTTGTCCCTTCAAAAATTCATTTGTATTAGTGTTTCTGTACTCGTGACTAGTAATAGACATGTTTCTGGTAGTAAACCGTTGCGTAACATAATAAAATTATAGTTTAAAAAACTAAAACCTCCCTATTATAATTGCCATTCGTACTGTCATCAGGTATGTAACTTGAGAATAGAAATCGCTGCATCTTTTAGGCGCATCAATATTACATAGTTACATCCCGAGCTAATAAAAGGAAGGTAAAAAACGAGTGATGTATTGTGGAACGCTTTCCGTCGTTCTCTCGACAGCGAAAAATGATACTGAGGATGGCACAGCGCCGAAACCGATTTACTACGAACCAAAGTTGACAAGGGATGAAGGAAATCATTCTACAATGCATCATATTTCTACCCTGTCGGAAACACAAACAACCAAAAAGAAGTTAAATACTAGTAGTAGAGAGCAAAAATAAGAGCGTGAAAACACAAACTGCTGTCAAACGATTCAACAGGAAGATAAATAAACGTTTAGGTAGTGAGTAAATCATTAAATAATGGCGAATTGTTGAATTTTTAAATAAATTTTAATTTAAGCATCCATGATCTGTTCACTTACTAATCTCTACTAGTTTTCGGTTTCTTATATTTTGCTCGTTCTTCCTTCTTGCCTCTCTTTGTGAGTGTAGTTTACTAGTTGCTACAAGGTGCAAAGAAACAAAGCTTGTCCAAAACTTACGAAATCTGCGCAGAACAAATCATCTTCCATTAATTTTTGGTTCAACGTGGTTAAGTTTTGCTCAACAGAGACTGGTAACTCGATGTCATATTTCTCAATAAAGGAATGAATATTTGATATCACGCGATGACCATTTTCATGACATCTGGCCGAATAATCACTATTCTGAAATGCGTTGATTAATTCCATCACTTCTCGAAGTTCAGACCGTAAAAATTTTATTTCGGTTTCGATTCCAGTTTGCTTTTTCAGAATTTCCATCAAAACTAAGAAATTTATTTAATTTGATCAATTAATAGACACTGCAGTATAATAATAAGATACTGCAATATATTAATAAAATACTGCAGTATAAAAGCTTTTGAAGTGGGGCTCTCAAATTCTTAAGCCATTAGCTATTGACTAATTTATATATTTTTGACTGCTATTGTGATAAAGTGTCACTGTTTAAAAATTTTGCCTCTACATCAATACGTTAGCATTCTGCAACCCATTTTGTAACGAACTGTGAACACCACAAGTGTAAAATTACCTTAAAAGCGTTTTAAAATTAATGAATGGTCAGTGGTTAATGAATTTCAGTTTTGAGAGTCCCATTTCAGAAATTTTTACTCTTATAATTCCCATACCATTATAATTTGAAACTTGATTATAGGTTACTTTGGGGCTGTTTGATTTTTGGGATGTTGTTGCATTGGAAAGAGTATTTAAGTTCTCGCTTCTCACTTCGTACGAACTTGCAACGATTTTTTCTGAAAGTCGTAGACCGATTACAAAATTTAGGCATGGATAAAACAAATGAAAAAATACAACCATGAAATATAGCATTTTCAGCTTAAATGAAACCTTTTTCAAATGCAATGAAAGTTTATTTAAATTAAATGAAACTTCCTTTTTTGGTTTACTGTGAATTCGCTGTTACACGTTGCTCTTCTTTACGGTCAAGGCATATTGAATATTGTAGCGTAAAACAGCTGCTTTGATTTTTTTCTATTTATATATTTGGACTTTAAACTGCCAAAGTTTGTTTATATATTTTTTTCATTTTCATAGCGGTTAAGAAACCAATTTTGGCATTTTAAATACAAAAATGCAATTTATTGTTTAATTTAATATGAAAAAGGTTTCGCTTAGTCTGAAAAAGGTGTCATTTAATTTGAAAATGGTTTCATTTAAACTGAAAATGCTATATTTACCACCACTGTATAAAACTTTGCGATGCTTCAGACTTTTTGATGATCTTTAGCAGGAGAGGCTTCAGGTGAACTTGAAAATTGTGGCATCGTCCTAAATGTAAATTAAGAATTAACTGATGTATATATGTATAAATATCCTATCTACGGCTGATATTCAATACCCTCAGTTTCCGATTTTCACAAAACTGAGATTCCGATATAAAAATCCACCTAAGGCCTAACTGTCATCGATTATGTTAATATTGACCTTGTATATCGCTTGTTAGAAAAATGTACTATTGATATTGCAAAAGTAAAATTAATGGCAGTTGCAGATGCAGTCTAATATCATAAAATCATTTTTGTAAAAATTGCAGATAGCGGATATCGAATATGAACCTTCGATATATAAAATCATAATTGAAAACTATAAATTTCCAAAGTTCTAGTCAATTCTTACTTTTTCGATTTGGATTCTTAAATTTGGAAATAAATTGTTTATCTTTCCTTTTGCTTGAGGATGGTTCATCCGCCTCTAAAACATATCAAAAATAAAAACATGTTGCTTTTATTTTGCATTCTGATTGCTTGTTTATTACCTGTCTCTATTTCGCTCAAAGAACAAACATTATCACTAAAGTGTTCGTCTGCTTTCTTTTCATTCAAAGCTGCAGCGTTTGCCCGGCGTTGAAGTTCTCGTTTCATAGCTTCGGATTTCTTGGAAGCATTTTCATTGTCAGTGAAAGCAAATGATTTCTTCCTTAATTCTTGTAGTCGCTCAAGTGCTTCATTGTACGATTCTGTATAGACATGAAATATCAGCTTTAAGGTACCAAATTCTGGACTTATGCCGCCAAAAATGCCACTTTGCGACATTTCATAAAGCGCAATAGAATGATATATTATTTTAACTCACTTGCATGACCGACAATTTCGATTTCATATGATTCCCAATTTGCGGGTGCTTCTGATTTTTCAATCAGTTTTTTAAATAAATATTTGCTCTTTATGGCTCCGTATGGCGAAGGTGGAAAACGTGTTTCGCAGACACCCAGTTTAGTATTGAAGTAGACCCAATCTTTGTAAACTATGTCGATGACATGTGGCAGGACCACGTCGACAGACTCTTCAAGAAACTTTACTAGTTTGTAGTCGTACAAGTCGTAGTCAATATCCATTGCGATTTTGTCACCAGATATGTATTCTACAAACATTTTTTAATTGTTAACGCGATCGCATAGTTACACTATATAAATTACACAGCACATAAAAACGAAACGATCGATACTAACCTCAGTACTTTTGTCGCTGATGTTTAAAAATGATGAACCACAATTAAATTAATAGTTAATCCATATAATCCGCACTATTGATGCCTTGCACAAATTATGGAAGCAAAACTTTTCGCCGCAACCAATGTACCGTTTTTCAAATAAGATTAGGAATGGTAGCGACTAATCATTTCATTACTATAATCGATTAATTTTTGCAATTTAATCGAATCAAACAAGTATTTTACTCTATTTTTTAATAGTACATAATTGACTATTTGTAAAACAATCAAAACTTAAAAAAGGATAATTAATTTATTCTCTTTACATACATATCTATAACATAAATATGAATATGAATTTGTGAGTACATATAACATAAGGCATAGGTATAGAATACCAACCGTTTAGCTATGCAAAAACAAAAAATGTCGCTCGATATAACGTTTTGCCATGATTTCACCCATATCAGAATTATTTGGCGCAAGTAAAATATAAGAGGTTCCAGTTCAGCTTTTCTATTTTTTATATGAGATATTAAGATAACAATAAGAAAAATCACGTCGACAAAAGTTTCCGTGAAAAACAACAGGCAAAGAAAAAACATGAATTCATATGAGGAGGTGTTACCGGAGCTGCTGATTTCAAGGCGAATTTGTACTGTTTGTCAAAATGATGTGTTTGTTGTACTTTTGTGCATTTAGTTTGCTAGTTTGCTAGTGTAGTTTTTGTTTTTGGTCTTCAGCTACCACCTTGTATAAATTCGCCTTGCAAATAAAGAGCAAAAGCAGCTGTTAGCCAAAACCCAAACCTTGGTTCAAATATCTAATACATCTTAACCATGGACCAAAACCAAAGAAAAAAAAATGTGTTGGAAATGTTTAATTTAAAGTTGGGTAAACATTTTTAAAGGCTACATCGGGTCAGGAATAATTTATCGATTCGAGAAATTAATGCGCTGACGAGAAAACGAAAGCTCGTATATCGAGATGATAAAGAGTTCGGTAATCCAAAGGTTAGATGAGAAAACGGCCCTGAATATTTAAAAAGAGTAAATTAAATATCTCTTTTTTAGTTTTGATTGTTTTACAAATAATCGATTATTTACTATTAAATGATAGAGTAAAATACTTGTTTCAATCGATTAAATTAAAAAATTAATCGATTATTGTAATGAAGTGATTGAATATGAAATGATATGACTAAAAAACACAATTTTCTGCACGCAAAAACTCAGTGCCAAAAGCTATGTATGATCAGCTGCTGAAATTGAATGAAAAATTGCTTATCGTCTTGAGAGAAAAATTGCTTCAAGCTGATAGGCACTTTGGAAAATATGAACATGTAAACCTCAAGTAATTCCAAAATTAATATATGTATTTATGTAGTGTGGCTAATCCTGCGGAAGCGTTAAGCGAACAACAAGAAAATGGTAGAATGCTCGAGGAATGACGTAGAATATTCGATAGCGAGAAGTGGATGAATACCGCGAACAGCGAGAGAATGTGCGATTGACGGCAGAACGTTCTTGAGTTGACATGAGTGCGAGCGCAGGTATAAGCCCAGCGCCATACCTAAACAAAAGCGTTGGAACGAGCGTTTTCTGACGCCTAGAGTTAACGCCGAGGTGCCATACCTAAACAAAAGCGTCAACGCTACGTCAAATGCAGAAATAACATCAACAATAAGCATAAGTTTGTTTGTGTGTAACATGAAAATTACAGTTTCGCAGTTTTCTCCAGCCAACTTCAATACCTAACGCCCTGTCAAAATCGGATTTTCCAACCAATTGTACTGTAATTTGGTCATCTTCAGCGTTTATTTAACAATCCAGCGATACGAACCCAGAGATTTTTGGTAAATCCGTCAAGTAGTCAAGGAGAACCGTAGCAGTAGGTTACTCTCACGACAGTACTGTCTGGTGATCATTCGCGTCAGAGTTGTATTGAATTTACAAATGTACATAAAAAAAAATTTATTATTCAATCTGTTGAAAATGTTCAGAGCTGAAAAATAATTTACGCAAACAATAAATGTTGATAAAACATCGGGTAGCAAAAATCGATGTTTAAGCACTCGATGTTGTCTCAAAATATCGATGTCTTACACACATTTCGATGTCGATGTGACACCAATAATTCACAAGCTGTGCCGAAACGAGCACATTTAGGGCTACTATTATGCACACATCTTTTTACCGAAAAGTATCGCGCAATATGAGCAAAAAAAAATTAAATGTGTTACGTGTTACGAAATGTCGAAAAAGCAAAAAGGCTCAGTCAGTCTACGACTCTGATTTGCAAGGTTTCTTCGCTGATTCTGCAGCTACTGAACATGGTGGTTTAACTTTTCTCGAATTTGCACCGATTTGTATTTTTACATTTGGAAATAATTAAACCGTGTAGAATAAAACGTTATTCTGTACACATGAATCATACGTATACATATTCACATTTGGCTCATTTTCAAGGCAATGAATTCACGTACGGTATTGAAAATTTCGTTGATGACAGTATCGAAAACCTTGTTTATGAACACCACCAACATGTGGGAAAAGAAGGAGTAATTTCTGGAAAGGACGACATTCGCGAAGTTGATCCCCACGATGAATTTTCGGTACGTTCATTAGGAATAAAAATTTTATCAAATGCTCTTAATCAATCGTAGTTAATTTACAGACTGATAACGAAGATTATATCGACTATGAACATGAAGATTACTATAGTCCGGACGAAGGGGCTGTTGCCGATGACGACGTGGAGTTTATTTGCGAGAAAGCACCAAAAGGATACCCTCCAGATTTTGATGAGGAAACTGAACTCAGAAAGTGGATTATTCAAAGTGGTATTGCTCAATCGAACGGTGATAAACTGTTGTGCATTTTGTGTCACAAGCTACTTCCTAACTTGCCAAAAACTTTTAAAAGTTTCCTAAAAACTTATAACGCAAAGTATGGAATTGAGACAGTTGGAACTGGCGAATTCGTGTACTTTGGGATCGAAAAAGGATTACAAAATGTCAATCCTGATTTCCACGAAGGTTCTATAGAACTATTGATAAATATAGATGGGGTGCCTGTATACAAATCAAGTACGCGCCAAATGTGGCCCATTTTGGGTAAAATTCACAATCATTACAACGTTTACGAGCCTTTTCCTATAGGAGTCTATTACGGAGATGAAAAACCGAAAGAACTTGATGCGTTTTTAGGAAATTTCATCAACGAAGTGAACAGATTAAGTAATGGAGTGGAAATTGAGGGACATTATTACCAATTTAGCATTAAAGCTTTTTGCTGCGATACCCCAGCAAGAGCTTTGCTCAAGGGGATTAAAGGTCACGTTGGTTTCTTTTCATGCGAGAGATGCACTATTAAAGGGGTTCGCTTCGATAAACGGACAATTTTCCCTTATGGATAACATAAAAAAAGAACGGATAACTCTTTTCGTAACAAAGAACAGCCAGATCACCATACCCATTCAACGCCCCTATTGAACATAACTCCTAAGGTCAATATGATTACTTGCTTCATCCTCGATTTCATGCATCTTTGTTGTATAGGTGTGATGAAAAAATTGCTCGAGTATTGGCTAGAAAAATTTCCTTTTCAATTGAGTGTGAAACAAAAAAGGTTTTAGAACAAAGATCAGTAAATATGGCTTTTCAAGTTCCGGTCGAATTTCAGCGAAAAACAAGAGCGCTCAAGCACTCAAGTTCAAAGTTCAAGGCCACGGAATTTCGTTTTTTTTTTTGCTTTACAGTGGCCCAATCCTTATGAGAAAATTATTAAAACCTAGTTATTATCGACACTTTCTACTTTTTCATGCTTCTTGTCGATTATTATGCTCCGATGAATACGCTTTAGTTTATTGCAATAAAGCTAAGACGTACTTAAAAAAATTCGTGGAAAATGCTGGCCATTTATATGGAAAGACGTCGTTTACGAAAAACCTGCATAATTTGTTACACTTGACCGAAGATGTGCAAAATTACGGATGTAGCCTTAGTCGAATAACTTGTTTCCCATTCGAAAGTTTTTTGGGTAAATTAAAAAGAATGATCCGCTCTGGTACTCAGGTGTTGGCACAAATTAGCCGTCGACTCTATGAACAGCATTTTCTTGCGATGAAAAAACCTACGTTGCCGCCGATTTCATTTATAGTTAAAGAAAAATGGAACAATGGTTGTTTTGAAATACAAGAACTGCGATACAAAGGCTTTACGCTGCGAACATCTTATCCAAATAATCAAGTTCTTTTAAATAGTGGTACTTGCGTTGTGATTGAAAAAAAATGTGGAGACAGCACGATTGTGACAAATGTCAATAAGGAAACTCAAGTTGAGTGGACCAATGTTTACGTATCCATTCAACTCAAGTCGTATTCAGATGTGGAAATTACACAACGAACTATGTAGTAAACCAATAACAAAATCCATAAATGTAATAACGCAAAAATTAGTGACTTTGTTCATTCAAGATGAATGCCTCTTCTCCACCGCGATGGGAAATGATTTATTTTTTATTTTTTATTTGTGTTCCACGAATGTAATATGCAGTATATTTTGATCTTGACGAATAAAATGCGTCAACAAAATTGTTTTGTTTATTTCTCTCTGACACACACGCTCCATCTTTCTCTCAAACAATATTTTGCTAATAAATACAGCTTCTAATAACAGTAAAACATGAATATTTTTATTCGGGATATTGTGGGTAAAATCTAGCTAGGTACTAGCTTGAGTATATGTGCAAACGCCAATAAAGAGGAAGTCTGACTTAGGGCCTAGATGTCTCCTAAAACCTAGCTAGGCACTTTCTAGATTGCATGATATAATGCCAGTAAATAGGCGATCTGACTCAGGGCCCAGGTAACACCAAAATAAAACTTATCGAGTCAATATTTACCTTATTTGCGCCTGCCCAGGCCCATCACGGATTTTTCGATATTATGGCATATCTAGCCAGGGCCCAGGTAAATGACAGACTTTCCTAGATTATTTTCCAGCCGGGATGGAGCAATGTAAATTATCACACGTTTTACACGTATCCGAATGACGCCTTTTAAATTAAAGTTGTTGTTGAAAATATCACCAAAGACGTACTGCGAGACGACATGTTGATCCCTTAATTCACAGGAGCGGTAAGAAGGCAGAAATAACATAAATACTTCTTTTGTACAGTGTTGCCAGAACTTTTTGGACGAACCGTCTAAATTGGCAAATAAAACCGG